CCTGGGAACACCTTGGAGTTCCCCCGGAGGAGCTGGAAGAAGTGGCTGGGGAGAGGGAGGTCTGGGCCTCCCTTCTGAAGCTGCTGCCCACGCGACCCGACCCCGGATAGGAGGAAGAAAATGGATGGATGGATGGATGGATGGATTAGTAATAAGGTTCTTTTGCCCAAAAAGTATGAATTGAGTTTTATTTTGATTCAGGTGAAGAAAATTTTGGTTCATCCATGAACTAACTTCAAAGAATCTGTTAGAGACTGCAGGGAATCATATTTATCATGTATTTTCTTTATGGGCATGTACACATCGTCTGCAAAACAGTGAAAAGAAATAGTATATTTCTTAAAAATGTGTCCAAGAGGCAGCAAGTACAATATAAACAAAATAGGGCCTAAGATTGAACCCTGAGGGACTCCATAATTTAGGGGTGCTGCCACAGAAAAACAATGATCAGTGTGAACAGAGAAACTTCTATCTGTTGTATTTGATGGACAGTCACAGGCACTTTACAGCTCTGATGCCCTGACACATCTGCGCCTCTCCTCCTACAGATGCAGAGCGTCATGTACGAGCTCATGTCAGAGCTCAACGACCGCAGTGAGGACTTGGAGCGGCAGATGCTGTCCCTGGAGCAGCGGGTGGAGCAGCTGACCGCGGGCTTCAACGCCCTGCCCGCGCACCTCTCCGCCACCCTCAGCGCCCAGCACGCCGCCCTGGTTCACCTGCTCCGGGAGCGGGACGCCCGGGACGGCAGGGGAGGAGGAGGAGGAGGGAACGTAGGAGGAGCCGTGGTCCCGCTGTCCTCGGCTCTGTCTCTAACCACCGCACCCCCGTCCGTCTCCTCGGTCCAGGTGGCGGCGCCTCCTCCACCTCTGGCGCAGATCTCAGCTCTGTCCTTGGAGGCGCCGCTGTCGCCTCCAGCCCTGAGCCCTGAGGGGAGCCTGGAGGCCTGTCCCAACCCCAACAAGTCCACCTCCAGCTGCTGAGGAGCACACAAACCAGGGAGACGCCTGGGAGGCGGAGCTAGTCTCCTCACGTTCAACTGAAGCAGAGAAATGAAGGAGGAGGAGGGGAAGGAACTGGTGGAGATCCTCTGGAGCTGCTGCCCGTGGTTGGGACTGTGAGGAGGAGGAGCGGGACTAAGATGGAGGGCCGGTGTGAGCGATGAGGCACATTCAGGACTTTCAGGGTGCTTTTCTCGACGCAGGAAGGAGAAGAAAAATGGAGACTCTAAAAGGTGTGAGGGGGAGGCAGGATGTCAGGGAGGGTGAGAAATGGAGATAAAGAGAACGAGGGGGGGCGGGGGGCAGACGAGGAGAAATAACTAAGAATAATTATATGAACTAAATGGAATCCACTCCAATTACAGCAAAAAAGGGCCTTTTTTAATTCTCTCTCTCTCTCTTTCTCTCCCTCCTTTCTCCAGATCTCTCGCTCCCTTCATCAGGAATTAATGACTTTTTATCCTTATGATGTATTTTCTATCTGAATGCTTATTGTGTGTTAACGAGCATCCCTTTAAACAGAAGGTTCGATCAATACGACCATAACATGGAGGAAAACACACACACACACACACAATACAAGCTAACACAGCACAAAATGACACTTTCTCTCATCGCAGACCCCAAAATACAACCTTGATCTCTGAACATCGTGTAAATAAAAACTGAATGCAACGATTTGCAAATCTAATAAACTAGTTTTATTCACAGAGGAACACAGTAAACGTGAACATGTGGGAACTAAGAAATTGGACCATGTTTTGGATAAAATACAGTATTTTTTGAAGATGATGAGAGGGGAAACAAAAGGCTGAAAATTCAAAACACATCATCTACAGCAGAGGTTCTTAAACTTTATAACCTCGGGGCCCAATTTATTGAACATAAAGTGACACGAGGCCCAGTCAGACATTACTAATGTATGGATCAAAATGATAATTATTATAATCTTGGTTTAATTTTTATTGTATTTACATCATAACTAAATTAAATACACTTACA